TTTCATCATATGGCCAGTCTGATGAATGGATTCTAGATTCCGGATATTCCTACCACATGTGTCCTAACAAGCAGTGGTTCTCGAGCTTACGAGAGTTCGATGGAGGAGTTATACTGATGGGCAACGACCAAGCTTCCCAGACAAAGGGAATTAGAACAATTTGACTGAAGATACATGATGGAACAATCAGAATTCTTGAAGATGTTCGGTATGTACCAGATTTGACAAAGAATCTCATAGCAGTGGGAGTTTTAGACTCCAAATGTCACAGAGTAACTGTGGAAGGTGGAGTCCTCAAAGTTGTTCGAGGAGCATTTGTTGTAATGAAGGGTACTCGAAAGGGAAATTTATATTTCCTAGATGGCTCTACAGTCACAGGGAGAGTGGCTGTCTCTACCAGCTCAGAAGATGATGTATCAAACATTTCCAGACTTTGGCACATGCACCTAGGGCATGTCGGTGAGAAGGCTTTACAAAGGTTGGTAAAGCAAAGCCTGTTGAAAGGCGCCAAAACAGGGAAGCTTGAGTTCTGCGAGCATTGTGTACTGGGCAAGCAAACAAGAATCAAGTTTGGTACTGCTATTCATCGTACTAAAAGGATTTTAAACTATGTTCATACCAATGTATGGGGTCCTTCCAAGAATGCTTCATTGGGAGGTAAACACTACTTTGTGTCGTTCATTGATGATTTCTCAAGAAGAGTTTGGGTTTACACAATGAAGCATAAAGATGAAGTATTAGAAATCTTTCTTATGTGAAAGAAAATGATTAAGACCCAAACAGGCAGAAAGATCAAGAAGCTCAGATCTGACAATGGCTGGGAATACACATCAGATCCATTCTTTAAGGTTTGCCAGAATGAAGGGATAATGAGACATTTCACAGTTCCTGGAACACTACAGTAAAATGGAGTTGCAGAACGCATGAACCGCACTTTGGTAGAGAAAGTCCGGTGTATGTTGTCACATTCTGGATTGAGCAAGGCATTTTGGGGCGAGGCATTGAACTATGCTCACCATCTTGTTAACTGACTACCTACTGCAGCACTTGATGGCAAGACTCCTATGGAGGTATGGTCAGGAGTGCCAGCTACTGAATATGATCAGCAACGTATCTTCGGATGTCCAGCCTATTTTCATGTTACAGAATCTAAGTTGGATCCTAGAGCCAAGAAAGCTGTCTTCTTAGCCTTTAGTGACGGTGTCAAGGGATACAGACTCTGGTGCCCTGAATCAAAGAAAGTTGTCACTAGAAGAGACGTTACCTTTGATGAGTCTACAATGCTGAAGCAACCAAATCCTCAAGAAAATGATAAAGCATTGAAGAAGTCAGTGCAGGTGGAGTTTGAGACTCCAGCAAAGACTATTAAGCCAATCAACCATCTTGAAGAAATCTCAGTGGATAGCTCTGAAGAGAGTTCAGATGAAAATGAAAATCCAGAGGCCCCACAACAATCAGAACCCATTGCAATCAGGAAATGAAAAAGGGTTACTAAGCAACCCGATTGGATGACCGATATGGTAGCCTATGCACTTCCAATCATTGAAGACAATGTTCCTTGTACTTTCAAAGAAGCCATGCAGAATGCAGAAAATGTTAATTGGAAGAAGGCTATGGATGAAGAGATTGGGTCACTTCACAAGAACCAGACTTGGGAGTTGGTACAACTTCCAAAGGAAAAGAAAGCAATTGGGTGCAAGTGGGTTTACACCAAGAAGGAAGGCATCCCAGGCAAAGACAACATCAGATTCAAAGCTAGATTGGTAGCTAAAGGCTATACTCAAAAGGAAAGAATAGACTACAATGAGGTATTCTCATCTGTTGTGAAGCATACGTCTATTTGTATCTTGCTAGCTCTGGTTGCACAATTTGATTTCGAGCTCGCCCAACTCGATATCAAAACTGCCTTTTTACATGGAGATCTTGAAGAGGAGATATACATATCCCAGCTAGATGGTTTCAAAGTTGCTGGAAAAGAGAATTGGGCCTATAAGCTGAACAAATCGTTGTACGGATTGAAGCAATCCCCGAGACAGTGGTACAAAAGATTTGATTGGTTCATGATAGAGAAAGAATACACAAAAAGTCAATTTGATCATTGTGTATATTTCCGTAAGCTTTCAGATGGGTCATTCATCTATTTGCTCTTATATGTAGATGATATGTTAATTGCATCAAAGAGCAATGAGGAGATTGACAAACTCAAGGTACAATTAGCAAGAGAGTTTGAAATGAAGGATTTGGGAGAAGCAAAGAAAATTCTTGGCATGGAGATCAAGAGAGACAGGAAGAAGGGCACGGTTCATCTGACACAAACTCAATATTTAAAAAGGGTGTTAGATAGATTTGGCATAAATGGGAAAACAAAAGCTGTGAGTACACCATTGGCCCCTCATTTCAAGCTCAGTGCTTCGATGTCTCCACACACAGAAGAAGAACGGAAGCATATGGCACAAGTTCCATATGCAAATGCAGTTGGTGCATTAATGTATGCTATGATTTGTACAAGGCCTGACATCTCACATGCTGTAAGTATGGTAAGCAGGTATATGCATGATCCAGGAAAAGATCACTGGCAGGCAGTGAAATGGATCCTAAGGTACATACATGGCACGGTTAATCTGGGATTGAAGTTCAAGAGAGATAACCGACTTGGGTAGAATTTGGTTAGATATGTGGACTCAGATTATACTGGTGACTTGGACAAACGCCGATCAATAACAGGGTATTTATTTACGCTTGCTAAAGGGCCGGTGAGTTGAAGGTCAACGCTTCAGTCAACGGTGGCTTTATCTACTACAGAGGCAGATTACATGGCAGTGACGGAAGCCTTTAAGGAAGCTATTTGGCTACACGGGTTGATTGAGGACTTGGGTATTGTTCAAAAGCACGTTGAGGTGTACTGTGACAGTGAGAGTGCCATTTGTTTGGCAAAGAACCAGGTTCATCATTCCCGCACCAAGCACATTGATGTCTGTTTCCATTTCATCCGAGAAATTGTGAATGAAGGGGATATTCTGCTTCAAAAGATTGGTACTGCAGATAATCCGGCCGATATGCTCACAAAGGTAGTTTCTGGGATCAAGTTCCAACATTGTTTGGACTTGGTCAACATCTCTCGGAACTAAGCACCTTCGGGTGCAAGGCAGTGTTGATCGATCACTATGTTGGATAAGAGAATCCTCGCCAATGTGGAGATTTGTTGAAGATTGGCTAAAGATTCAGCCGCGAACATAGCAACACAGCTTGCCAACTAGCCATGCAAGGCTAGCCATGTGATCCTGCCAACTAGCAACACAACTTGCCAACCTACAAAGTCACAAAGGTGATTCTCCATGTGCTACAGCATGTTGCCAACCAACATGGACGGCCACCGAAGGAGAAGAAGTGATCTGGCCATGTGATGGAACAGCCTCTCCACCTCCATCTGTAATGTGTATAAATGGAGAGGGTAAGAGCAGAGGGTGGTGAGAGAGAGTGAACAACTATCAGAGTGTGTTTCCATTGTAATTCTTCCATTTCTCTCCATATAGTGAAATCCGCTGCCCGTGGACGTAGGCGATTTGCCGAGCCACGTTAAAACTCTTGTGTTATTGCTTGTTTGTGTTTCCTGGTGTGCCCTCGATCCCTAACACCCTACCCACTTTTGAAGTGCATGAAATTCATACACAATGCTAAGATGTTAGTATAAAATTTAACTCATTTGATATAGTTAAGTGTGCTAGGTTTTTAAGAAAATTTTAGAAACAACTAACTTTCAAAAAAATATGAAAAAGTCATTTTTAAATTTTTGACAAATGATTTTGCACAAAAATGAAAACAAGAAGTGCTCTCAAAACTGTCCCTAGGTTTTGTTTATTCTTTGCTTTTGAAAACACGAAAAGCACATGCTTGTTCCTCTGTCTCTCATTTTTTGACTTTGCCATCAAGAAAAACAAAAACCAATCCATTCATGGCCTCTCTCTCTCTCTCTCTTGCTTTGTCCTGTTTCTTCTTCTTCACTGAGTTTTCCTCTGGTCTGTCTGTGTCTTTATTTCGGCCGCTTGGCATGAAACCAACTACAAGAAGCCCCAATTCAATAATGCTCTGTTCTTCCCCTTTACACATCTTCCATCACTGTCATTTAACTACAGAAGAAACCAAGAAATATGGTCAAGATCGGATGGTTTGAAATGCGCCATGGTATTCTATGGACCGCGATGCACGATGTTGTTGGGAGCCCACCATATATGTTCCTGTTCCTGGGTGGAACAGTCATTTACTGCTGAGGATCAGTGAGAAAGTGATAGAACACTAACATGTTTGATCTCCATTCTGTTCAAAATTCAAATATCTATCGCATCCTATGTTGATCATTGTGAGATGCTGTAGAAAGCAGGGTCGATACAGAATAGTGGATGCTAGGGTCGTTAACAAACACTTCCCTTCTGTTATTCGTTCTGTTTTTCATTTTTTTTAAGAAACTGAAAACAAAAACTTAAGGGGTTGTTTAGGAAGTGTTACATTAGCATACTTTTTACTTTTTATGTAAAATATGTGTTGAGTTTAAAGCGATATGATAGAAAGATAATGTGATCCAAGTAAAATAATTGTGACCTAAATAGAATAATGTGTTATTTTAACACATGCCAAACAAGCACTTACCAAACATTTTCTTTGTTTTTCTTTTCAAACACATTGTAAGAACTAATAAGAGATCAATCAAAATAGGGACATATATTAAGGTAATTTTATATGATAATACACATACTTATGATAAATATATATGGTAATTTTATATGGCAATTTTCTTAGTCGATATATTTTTTTCATTTTGATGTCCAACTTATCATAAATATTTTTTATATCACAAAAAAAAAAAAAAATTGTTGAGCACAAAGTCATATGCCATTCATGGAATGCTTTAGTAAATAGAGACATATATATATTTTTTTTTTTTGTAAGTTATGCATATAAGATAATATGTTTAATTGTATGATCAACTAGGTTGATAACATTGATTTATAAATCTTGCAGCTGAAGACATGGAATTATTATTTAAAAAATAAAATAAAAAATACAATAGAATGAAACTTATGCATGGATAAAACATTGAAGCCTCAATGAAATGCACACCAAGAACATGAAAGATCAAACATTTGACTGGTCTTCCTTAAATTGATGAAATTTCACACCAAGAACATAAACATGAAGATCAAACATTGGACTGGTTTTCGTGATCGGAAATTGTAGATGTTCCCGGTAGTTCTTCACCGCGAATTCTGGAAACTACTCTAACTGCCTCATCTTTCTTACGCTTCTCTTGAAAAGCATTCACTATCAATCGGTATGTGTGCACTAGGAGAAGAAGTGCCATAACAATACACCACACTATGGTTGCAACTACAATGGTTTGACTAAGGGATTTCCTTTGCATTTCGGGTGTGACCGCAATAATAGAAAATGCGTAAGTAAATACAGTCGACGTGATAGATATCCACATAAGGATTACCAAAAGCCAAATAAAAATTCTTCTCTTTGCTGCAAATCTAGAAACGAGCAAAAGGAATATACTCAAAGATGCAACGAATCCCATTGTGTTCGCACGCAAAGAAGTACTTGTATGATGATGGATGATTGTAAGCCAGTATAGATTGCCCAGCTCTGTGTTCACTTGAATTATCTTGCCAAACACCGCCAGGAGGGTTTACCCCAGATTGGATTCCTAGTGTCGCGACCAATGTTGCCACTGCCATTAATAAGTCCCTTCCCTTTGTCATCGACTCACCAATTTGGAAATCTGGGGCTCTTTTTGCATGAGCTTGTTGAAGGAGGTCTTCAGTATTGCAGTTATGGTCCAAATCACCATTTTTTTTGGCTAGAAGTACTACATCCATTGCTGTGTGGTTATTCGCGTTTCTTGCATTTTCATCAATTATGCAATTGTCAAGCACACATCTTGCCATCTGAAACATTTGTATTTGTTTTTACTATATGATCATTGATAAATAAATAAAAAGTAGCGAAGAGAATAACTACCCGATAAATTTATGAGAAAATATTTATTATATTTTATTTTATTTTTATGAAAATTTTGTTGAGTTCTATTAATAGATGAGTCAACTTGTGTCATCGTAGCGTTAAAGCCCTATAGGGGTGTAAAATCGGCTCAATCCAAGACCACTTGGACTCTCGCTAAAAATTGAGACAAATTATGGTTGTCCAGTTCTAAAAAATCTAAGCCCAAGCCTAAGCCCAGGGGTAATTAGGCTTTGGGCTGGACATGACTTTTTTTGTTATTTTTCAACAAAATAGCTTGTAGGTGACATTGGGCGAACTGGATTTTGGGCCAGGCCTAGAAATGCTTGGCCTAGGTCCAAGGTTCTCAGGTCGGCCTAGCCTTGGGGCCTAGTCAGGCCAGGCTGACTTAGGCTTGGGTGGGCTTTAGATGGGTTTCGGGCCTACAGGCCAATTTTATATCCCTAAAGTCCTATGCTTATATGAGTAATTGTTTAAAAGTCTATGTTTATATGTGCTTTCATCATTAAATGAAAACAATATAAAGAAACCAAAATTTTGAAAGTAATGTTAGAGAATGAATTAGCTGTATAGAATATTTGGGTAATTCATTTGGGTCATGAGTTACTAATTAAGAGAAAAAAGCTTAGTTATAGTTATACCTGTAACTGTTTATTCAGCGTAGCAAGATGTAATATGTTGTTGCCACACCTATCTTTGGCATTGACAAAATCACGACTTGTAATCACCTTTAGCAATACTTCCAGAGTTTGTTGTTGATTGTGGTTGACACATAAGTGTACGATAGTTTCATCACGATCTAGCGTGACTCGAACAGCTTGTGGACACACTCGAACCAATACTTGCAATACATTGACTTGGCCCTTTATTGCTGCAATATGCCATCTCGATCACAAACTAGACACAAGTTAGGGTTGATATTTATCAATGCTTCAACAATTTCAATGTACCCTTTTGCTGATGCTAAATGCAGAGCTGATTGATGTTGTGAATTTAAAGCTTCAGCAAGTTCTACATTGCGATCCAAAAGTAGTTTCGCAAGCTGTGTCAAAGACAAAAAGAATAACTTAAAAAAGCTAATTAATATATCAATCATGTATAATGTATATTGTTTTTTTTTTAGCTCATTTTTCAAACCCAACCAAAAAACTAAATTTATATTCTTTTCTTTTCTTTTTCTTCAACTTTAAATATAAACCGAAGATCAACATATAACATTAATAACTTTTCAACAAAATTAATTAAAATACCCTGAATAAGTACATACCGTGAATTTGTTATTGAAGACGGCGACATGTAATAAGGTGTTACCATTACTATCGGTGGCATTGATAAGGTCATAACATTCAACATTCTCCACAAGCAGGATGAGAGTCTCTTCCTGGTTGTATTTGACTGCAATATGAAGAGGGTTTCTACCATCTTGATCACGAGATAGGCACATTTCAGGCTTGGCTTGTATCAATGCCTTTACAATCTCAACATACCTTTAGCCGATGCCAAATGAAGAGCTGAACGATGTTCTGAATCAAAAACGCCGGCAAGTTCTGAATTTGAATTAAGCAGTTGTTGCACAAATTGTGTGTGCCCGCGTGATGCAGCCACATGTAGAGGACTCCAATTGAAAGATCCCTCCACAATTTTATCCAAAATTTTTCCGTCTCCAATTATTTCATGAAGTGATTCAACATTCCCTCTACTTGCTTCCTCACCAAGCCTCTGCTCCATTCTCTCTCTCACACTCTCTCTATCTTCTGTCTGAATCGATGGATACATATGCTTGTTGGTAAGTAACTTCAATTATATATAAACACACAAATACACTTATGTGATAAGTAACAATAAAATTTTAATATGCACAATGGGTCTCATTTGTGAATTGGTTATTTTAGCCTTTGTTTGGAAAGAGTTAAAATAGTTTGGCTTTTTTATTTTTTGACTATTTGAGCCTGACTATTTTAGCTTCATTGGTTTTTATTTTTGGCTTTTTTAACTTTTGTGAGAGAAAAAATGTAATAATTATAGTTTTGACATGTAGCCAATTTTGTTTTTTTGTATTTTTTTAGCCAAAAAACTAAAACCAAAACCAAACATAGCTTTTATTTGGTTTTATGATTTTTTTTATAAAAAAAAATATATATATATATGAATAAATAAAAAAAATGATATGATAACTTACAACAATTTTTTAACTAAAGAAAAATGATTCGGACCCCCTTTTCCCCCACCCCTTTGACCTCCTCTCTCTCTAATTGGTCAATTTTCTTTCTTTCTTTCTTTTTTTTTCATTTTCCTCCAATCACCACCGACCACGTGTGGGGGTGATGGGAGTGGTGATTAGAGGGGATCTCCATCACTCCCCTTAACTAAAATCTTAAATCCTCAAACTAGACCTTGTTTTTCAAAATTGAAATGCTTTCAGATACCAATCTACATTTATGTAGGTACATGAAATTATTGGTTGACTACATCTTCTGGCAAGTTGTCGTTATCAAGCAAATGTGAACGAATTTTGAAGTATTAAAATGTTGTCAATTAAAAAAATATTGAAGAGTTATATAGGTTAAGTATGATGATATATACAAAAAAATTCTTATTTTACAAATTATCATACTAAATAATGTAATTTCTTGATATATTTTCATTTCATTTCATAAATTCATTATTTTTCACTATTATGATTCATAATATTTTGTCACATTATTTTAGATTAATTTTTTTTAATATAATTCATTATGTCAATTGAACTTTTTTTTTCATTCTTATAATTCTCTTGTTTCTTTTAAAACTTTTAATACTCAAAATAAATCTGTGTCTAATATTCAAATAAATCTAAACCATCAATATTATTAAAACTGCCATATCTAAAATTTAAAAAAAAAAATTCGAGGTTAAGATCTTGTTTTTCTTTTGAATTAGTATCGTATTTTAATTTTAATTTTTTTTAAATTTCATAGAAACTAAAAATATCTTATACAACTCAAATTGTTCAAATCTATTGTTAATGCAAGACAATCTTTGGCTGTGTTTAGTGGAGTTCTTGAAACGCAATTGCGTACAGTTGCCGTGTTCGGTTAATGATTTTAAAAATTGATTTTATATTCACTTTTGAAAATATGTTTACCTAATCATCCTTCTGAACGTTCGGCCGGTTGGCCGGCAATTTTTTTTTTTTTGGCACTTATTATTTTTATATTTTAAGTAAAACATATTTTTGGAATTTGTTTTAAATTTTTTATGAATTTTGAATAAAATTTTAGATTGTGCGTTTGATTATGAGTTATAAATTTTTTAATCAAATATTATATGTCGCATCACTCAATTCAAAACTTATAATCAAACAAATTTTTCACACTCAAATCATAATTTCAAAACTCACAAATTTAAAATATAATTCTATTCTTAAATTATAATTTTAAAATTCTATCAAACACAACGTTGTATTTTATTTAGATGGTTCTAATACATGGGCCTTTGTATTGGTTGATCCAATATATATATATATATAATAAAAAAATAAAAGAAAAAAAAAACTCATAACGGTTCTCTTTTTGTTAGTGTAACCATGTGTGACTCTAATTATTTTGGGTATGTTTGGTTTAGTTTTAAAAAAAGTAGTTTTATTTTGGGTATGTTTGGTTTAGTTTTAAAAAAAGTAGTTTTTAAAAATTATTTTAGAGAAAGAGTTTAAAGTTGTATTTGGTAGAGCTTTCTAATTATAATTTGATAGTAGGAGTTGTATTTTAAGTTTGTGAGTTTTGAAATTATGATTTGAGTGTGGAAAATTTATTTGGTGAAAGAGTTTTGAAAAAAATTTTGAATTGAGTGAGAAATTTTTGATGTGACATTTAATATTTGATACAAAAACTTACAGTTCATAACAAAACATACAATTTAAAATTCTATTTTAACACAAAAAAAATTAAAAATTCAGGAAAAAAAATTTCGAATATATAAAAATTAAAACATTTCAATTGCAAAAAAAAAATTGTACTGTTCCAGTCAATCGGCCGGACAACTGGTGGGACGACCGATTAAGCCAAATTTTTTTTAAAAAAAAAATTGAAAATCAGGCCTCACACACAGAATTTTTTTGTAAAGTTGTGAAAAATTAGTTCAAAAGCTTTATCCAAACATCATATTGGAACGTGGGGTAGAATCAATGTTTGGAAATCGTTCCAAACACAGAAATTGTTTTTGATTTGTTTGATTGTGTATTTTGAAAATAGTTTTAGAGTTTTGGAGTTTAGTATGATTTGATATTTTGTTATAATTGAGTAGATATGTGTGAGAGAAAAAGTGATAGAAAAGAAGAGATAAAAGAGAAAAAGTGACTGATTGATAGGTAAAAGAGAGAGAGTAATTTTGAAAATTATTTTGAAAAATTTACAAATCAAACAAATTTTTTAAGAAAAAATTTCCCAAAGTCACTTTAGAAATACAAACTAAACATCCCCTTTATGTTTGAGCCTACGAACATAACACACTTGTTGAATCTTGTTAACTCAAAAATCTTTATTCAGAGTCAGTACTAAGATTTTCATTTCATAGAAGATTATTTTCCGTTAAAAAAAAAAAAAAAAAAAAAAAATGCACTTGTTTGTTTTAATTTTTTTAATATAAAAATAATTTATTTATTTATTTTATATAAAAATAATTTAACAATCGCATCACTAACTATCTCCCATACTATTATCAAAACAAACACATTTTTACTTAATTCTCTAACTAACAATCCCCACATTAACAATCTCTTCACTAACCATCATCTCACTAACAATCTCATCCAACCTAATCCACTAAACAAACGTGGCCTAAGCCTTATATTATGTTTTAGTTAACAGATGAAATCTAATAGCTAGGTACACCAAAATATCCAGCTCCTATATGTTGGTCACAGGCAAGCATATCATGCTCTGACATGAAAACTGGATAGTGAAGTGGCGACCATGCAAATATTGTGCAACGGAAAACTTCTGAATGCCATGTATGTTATGTACGGAATTAAACCAAAGCCTATGTCTAGGATGTCTCAGCATCCTGGTCAGTTGCATTAGGCTCAACACACCTAAGTTACACCCATAGTTAACCCATCTTCAACTTTCATTCTACTGCAGAAAAATAACCATAAATAAATTGAAAATTTATTTTCAAACTCCAATAAACTCAAATACCCAAAGAATGCAACATAGTATGCAACGGGGCTGTTTCTGAAACGCGGTGGGTGAGAAAGAGACCACGAAATCACACGAAACCAGGAACGGCCCTCAGTTATTAAAGCGAATTTTTTAAATTCCGCCTTTTATATATTATTATTTTTTAAAAAAATTGTTTTGATAAAATAAAGGAAAAATTGGTCTAGGGTCTCTATCTCACTTTTCATAATAGAAGAGATTCACAAAATTATTTTTTCATGTCTAAAATCCCTAAACATATATCAGATAAATTTGACTATTTGTCTCTCTCTCTCTCTTCTCCTCTCACCCACTAGTCTTCGAGATCCAAGGCATTCAAATCAGTTACTCTGCTCCTCCACCCTCCTCTACGACTTCTTCCTCAACACCTTCTCCCCCAACTCCTCCTTCTGCTCCGCCACCGTCGCAGACCTTCGCGCCGCCTGGATCCGCCACTCGGCCTGCCTCTCCTTCTCCCACTGTCTCCTCAACTACAAAGGCTTCCTCGACCTGTGTTTGTTATGAATAACCGACTGCTTTTGCTAGTGGGTTGGTGTGCTTGCGGGTGAGGGTAGTCTGGACGTGAGCTGCAGCTCCTGCGGGTTTGTTACGTAAGAAGGAGCTCTACATCTGTGTAGAGGATGACTTCAGGGTTGTGGGTCTTTTTAAGCTCCAGTCTTGTGTTGTTTTCAGACGATATT